AGCTCTGCCCGGTGCTGTGCGCAGAGGAAGGTCCCTGCGGCCCTGCGGATGGAGGGACCTTTGGGTGGGTGGGACCTCGAGCAGTCTGTCGGGTGGAGAGAGCACTGCGACCAAAGGTCCCAGGGGTGGCTAGGTGTGTCAGACAGAGGTGTTTTACCTTGAGCCACAGGGCCTTGGAACCTGGAAAGATGATTAGGGATCAGATTCTGGGAGGCCTTGCAGTGCTGTGAGGAGTTCGGGTTTGATTTGGGAAGCCCCGAGGAGCCGTTGGAGCCGCTGGGGGTCATCTGAGTTGTTATATTCCCCTTTAGAAGAAAGTTTTGGTGTGAGATGCTGCAAACCACCAGTACCCTAGACACACTGGCTCAGGCTGGTTCGGTGGGCTCCCCTGCGATATCTCACTTACGTTTTGCTCCAAACCAAACTGTTGAGTGTGATGACTAGGGCAGGAACTTGTGGATGAAGACTATTTTTTAACCACTCCATTAATGACAAAATCCAAACCGCTTTTAAAGGTATGCGTGCATACATTTGGATTCTGATTTTTTTTGAGACAGAGTCTCACTTTGCTGCCCAGGCTAGAGCGAGTGCCGTGGCGTCAGCCTCGCCCACAGCAACCTCAGACTCCTGGGCTCAAGCAATCCTCCTGCCTCAGCCTCCCGAGTAGCTGGGACTACAGGCATGCGCCACCGTGCCCGGCTAATTTTTTCTATATATATTTTTAGTCGGCCAATTAATTTATTTCTATTTATAGTAGAGACGGGGTCTCGCTCTTGCTCAGGCTGGTTTCGAACTCCTGATCTTGAGCGATCCTCCCGCCTCGGCCTCCCAGAGTGCTAGGATGACAGGCGTGAGCCACCGCGCCCGGCCTGGATTCTGATTTTTTTTTAAAAGAGAATCTTAAGCATGCTTAAAGTACTCGGGCTTTGAAAATGTTTTTCTACTATGATTTTATTACTAGTTATTTGCTTTGATTGGTGAGTTTAATCAGAGAAGAAAATAAGAATATTAAAGATCTGGAGTAGATGTGAGTTATTGCTTAAGTCTATTGTATGTACCCACACGTGCATACATACGTGTGTTACATTTACGTGATATTTATGTGAAGGGAATATGGATGAACACACACAGTTGGTACTCAACTGGTACTACTTTTATGTATTTTTTTAAAGTCTTAACTATGTTCATATTCCTAGCTAGATCCTTTATATTTTGAGAAGCACGCATCATGCCTAGTTTGCATTTGCCTTATAATGTCAGTACTCAAAAATGACTAATTCAAGATAGTTTTATTAAAAACTTGCTTCTAGGAAATGATAGTTACTGTTTTAAGATGGAACGCTTACTCATGTTCCCTAAAAGGAGCCCTTTTCCTTTAACCTTCTATTTATAGTTCTTTAGTTGTTGTAGTCACAGCTTGGAATCACACTTTCTGAGTGATGGTGTTACTAAAGTGTATTTTTGATTTAAAGGTACATATGAACATGTAGAAGAGATTGAAAGTGTTTTTTCCCCCCTTCCTTCTTAGAAACTGGTATGATGATTAAGTTTTAAGTCATGACGGGCCGGGCGCGGTGGCTCACACCTGTAATCCTAGCACTCTGGGAGGCCGAGGCGGGCGGATCCTTTGAGCTCAGGGGTTCGAGACCAGCAAGAGCTAGAATGCTGTCTCTACTAAAAAAAAAAAGGAAATTAGCTGTACAACTAAAAATATATAAGAAAAATGAGCCGGGCATGGTGGCGCATGCCTGTAGTCCCAGCTACTCGGGAGGCTGGGGCAGGAGGATCGCTTGAGCCCAGGAGTTGGAGGTTGCTGTGAGCTGTGATGACTGCAGCCCTCCCATCCCGCCACCCGTTCTGCTTCTGCATCCAGCCATTTGGCTACTGCCTGCGCCCTCAGTAACTAGCAAAGAGTAGACACTTCTACACTGGTTATTGTTTGTAAGGCTCTTGAAACACTAATCGTACCTACCAGCGTCCATTGCCGCCAGTATCGACGGCAATCGAGTAGCGATTTCTGTGTCGTCACCCAGTCCTGGGAGATACACATAATTGTTTCAGGATTTTTTTTTTTTTTTTTTTTGAGACAGAGTCTCGCTTTGTTGCCCAGGCTAGAGTGAGTGCCGTGGCATCAGCCTAGCTCACAGCAACCTCAAACTCCTGGGCTCGAGTGATCCTTCTGCCTCAGCCTCCCGGGTAGCTGGGACTGCAGGCATGCACCACCATGCCCGGCTAATTTTTTCTATATATATCAGTTGGCCAATTAATGTCTTTCTATTTATAGTAGAGACGGGGTCTCGCTCTTGCTCTGGCTGGTTTTGAACTCCTGACCTTGAGCAATCCGCCCGCCTCGGCCTCCCAAGAGCTAGGATTACAGGCGTGAGCCACAGCGCCCGGCCTGTTTCAGGATTTTGACTCTAGTGTCTCGAATTTCCTGTTTTCCGTTTTTCCGGGAGTTCCGTATTAATTCTCCTTGCAGGCTTTAACTAAAGAGCATATAAGTAAAAATACATGCTTTTTAAAAAATGCTTTTTTTTTCCCCCTCTCCAGCCAGTAAAATTGCATACAGTGCTAATGGCTGCTCCCTAGCAAATGTGTTCATGGACATCGCGTTAGTCATTCGGTGTTTTAAAAGCCCTCTGGTTCTATAAATAGCGTGGCTTTGCCACTTACCATTGAGCACTGTCCCCATTCTGTGATTGTGTGCAAAGATGATTTAAACAGCAGCATTTAAATTTCCTCTTGTCTTTGTATGACAACGCATCTGTGACTTTTCCCTATCCGTACTGTTTATAGTAGTTTGGTGTAATTTTTTTTTTGATCATGTGGCTGAGGGAACACATTTACTTTTTTAAGTGTGTGATTGGACATGTGCTAATAATAGATATCATGGGAACAAAAGCTTAAGAGTGTCCTGAACCGGTAGGCTTTGGGAAAGCTAATTTGTGAAAATCTTAAAAAAGAAATCCTACTTTAAATGAAAGTAGATCTTCAGGCAGAGTCTGGTAAGCTTTTTCTGTAAAGGATCAGATAGTAATATTTTAGGTGTTAAGGATCTGCATAGGTTCCTGTCACATGATCTTAGGTTTGTTTTTTGTTTGTTTGTTTTTTGAGACAGAGTCTCACTTTATTGCCCAGGCTAGAGTGCCGTGGCATCAGTCTAGCTCACAGCAACCTCCAACTCCTGGGCTCAAGCAATCCTCCTGCCTCAGCCTCCCGAGTAGCTGGGACTCCAGGCATGTGCCACCATGCCTGACTAATTTTTTTTTCCTATACATATTAGTTGGCCAATTAATTTCTTTCTATTTATAGTAAAGACAGGGTCTCGCTCTGGCTCAGGCTGGTTTTGAACTCCTGACCTCGAGCAATCCTCCCGCCTCGGCCTCCCAGAGAGTACTAGGATTACAGGTGTGAGCCACCACGCCAGGCCTGGTGGTTTTTTTTGTTTTTTGTTTTTTGTTTTTAACTCTTTAAAAATACAAAAATCCATTCTTAGCGTGAGGGCTCTAAAAACCAAACCTTTGGGTGTGCCCTCTAGAGGCTGAAAAGGTCAGTCTGCCATATTTACAAAGATTCCGACCTCTTGGTGTTCACGATGGTAAGTGTTCGACTTGTCTGTCATTTGCTCTTTGAGTCTTCCAATGAACTTAAGCCAAACGCTGGATGTGACGCTACGTTCTGAGAAGTCGCCTTCACCCAGATCGGTGGGTTCTGGGCGTGAAGGACCGCTAAATACAGAGCATCGAGAAGGGATTCATGAATACAAGCCCGTTTAACAGGGCACGTGTTTGGGACACTGTGTGAATAGAACTGCGTGAGCTCACAGGCCGAAGTGGCTGCAGGTGTAGAAGCTGCTTGTGATTTGCCAAATCAGCACAGCTTAGATCAGGCGTCCTCAAACTACGGCCCTCGGGCCACATGCAGCCCTCCAAGGACATTTATCCGGCCCGCCGGGTGTTTTTGCCGCCGCCGCTGCCTGTCCTGCTTAGCAGCCGGCTCGTCCCGGGCCCACAGTGCGCACCCTCCAACGGTCTGAGGGACGGTGAGCTGGCCCCCTGTTTAATAAGTTTGGGGACCCCTGGCTTAGATGGACCGGAGAGCAGCCGGCTTGGGGAGAGTGGGCACGGCCGGTAGGATGAAAAGACCATGCCCAAGCGCTGGGTGATTGGGTAGAAGATGTTTTAACCGTTTGTATGGTTGCAGGTAAATGCATATGCTGCGAGTGGAGTTTCGCACGTGATCGTTTCCCTAGGATTTCCCCAGAGACATGATGGACAAACTTGGAGAGAAAGATTCTCCCTTGAGAAGGAGGATCTCAAGATGTGAAGCGGTGATGGGGGGCAAAGTTTGGTCAGCTGTGACCAGCCAGACCCGACCCCTCACACTTTACACCCCAGGGCCGCCCCCTTGGGGAAGGATCTTTCCGACGTTTTTTTTTTTTTTTTCAGACAGGGTCTCACTCTGTTGCCCAGGCTAGAGTGAGTGCCGTGGCGTCAGCCTCGCTCATAGCAACCTCCAACTCCTGGGCTCAAGCGATCCTCCTGCCTCAGCCTCCTCCCGAGTAGCTGGCACTACAGGCATGCGCCACCATGCCCGGCACATTTTTTCTATATATATTTTTAGTTGGTCAATTAATTTCTTTCTATTTTTGGTAGAGACGGGGTCTCGCCCAGGTTGGTTTCGAACTATTGACCTCAAGCGATCCTCCCTCCTCGGCCTCCCAGAGTGCTAGGATGACAGGCATGAGCCACCGCGCCCGGTCCTTTCCAATGTTTTTGAATAAGACAGCATTTGCTTGCCCCTTTGGGGCATGGCATTTGATTTTAAAGATACTGAGTATTGCATTTTTGCTACTGGCCTTTTAGAATCATTAAAAATTGGTAGATGAAGGTTTTTATCTATCAGTGCGTATAACAAGAAGCTGCTATATTAAATGATCAAGCGCAAACGTAAACATTGAGACACGTATTAATTATCTGAATGTTTTCTCTGGGTTTCAGGTTCTGAGCATCCAAGTGAAATGCTTCCATGAAATCATCACTATCGGTTACAGAGTCTATCGCTCCTATGATCTGCCGTGGTTTAGAACACTGAGCTGGTAAGTGAGCTTGAAGCCGTTTCGGACACGAAAATCTGGTTTTTTTCTAAAGTTTGTATAGGAAACATCCTGCTCAGTCAGTATCCACGCAGTTTGTCAAATAGATTGGTTTTGGAGAAAGATAAATTTAAAAAAATGTAATTGAATTTTGAAAACAAGAATATCACCTTTATCTTTCCCACTCCAACACTTCTTTCACATCTCATATTTCAGTCTCTGTAGAGATGTCTGTGTTGAATATTACACCATTCTTGTCCTTTTAAAAAAACTAACCAGTGTATTGGACAGTTTTTATAGCCTTTATAATTATGATTTTAGCAAAAATTTTACTAATGATTTTTTGCTTTGCTTTGCCTTTTTTTTTTTTTTCTTTTTTTGGGACAGAGTCTCACTCTGTTGCCCAGGCTAGAGT